TGGTGGTGGGAGAACACCTTGTACTGCAGCAGCCTTGCTCCAGCTCAGGTGCTTTCTCAGGTCCCTGCCCCAGCCTGCGACACTCTGGGCTCCTCCAGCTGGGTGGCACAGCCACAGTGGGTAAGGGAACTTCCACAATTAAGTGGAAACCAATTACTGTTTGCAGAACTGATACTGGGAAAAACTGATTCTTCATTTTTGTGTAAAAGTAGTATATAGACATGTAGAAATATTTGCAATAAAACCACTTCCTGAATGCCTTTCAACTTCTTCACTAATGGTTTCTCCGTTAAAATACCCCAAACACCGTCTTGGAAAGGTGGTTTTAAAATCTGACAATCACAATTTGAAAGTAAGTTTTCTGAAAATGTGAAGACTATATTTAGGGATAGTACCTAATTCTGCAGACCCTGGGCCAATAATATTTGTATTCATTCTCACGTTTTCCCACTGCATCTTTTAAGCACTTAGGAAGAAAAAATATCAGACTAGGCAAATTTAGAAAGCATTAAAAGATCTTTAACAGACCATTTTATCTTATAAGATTCTTGACCCAGGAAAATAAACAGACTAAACAGGATGCTATTTTCAGATTGGTCACAAAATCCTTTGTATAGTATTCCAACAAACTGAAAAATCACTTTTGAATTAATCTTAAGAGTCTGACATGAGAAGAGTTTGATTCGCCAGTTCCCAGACGTGGAATGCCACCAGTTGCAATGCACGTGCCTGTGGAACCCTGTGGGAGTTAAAATGCCACGGACTTCAAAGGGGAGGAGAAGCAGCACGCTCCACCAGCAGCAGCAGCCTGAACGCAACGGAGAGCAAGGACACGCAGCCCCCAGGACAAGCCAGCCCCGCAGAGCCCCGCTCAGCCTGCGCTCTTCGGGGCTGGAAAAAGGCTTAGTTCTATGCTCTGAAGCATAAATTTTGTTTTATAACCCACTTAAGCATGGCTAACTTGAGCGTCCATGTACATTCTTCTCTCTTCATCTCGGAAGATCTTTTCCTCGACACAGTTTAGAAATTTAACGTGTCTAGAATTATTATTTCTAAATCAAATTAAGTGTTGCTATTAAAATTTAATAAGGCTACTATGTATTTCTGTAAACTATGTAACTTCAGAAGAAAAGCAGCATTCTTAAAAATCTGAAGCTGTTTTGCAGTGAAGTATCTCAACAGCACAGCACAATTAACTACGGAAAGTGTTGAGCGAAGCTTGGGAACAGAGTGTAACAGAAGATTGGTATTTCTATTACTGTTGAATATTTATTTATCGTGGAATATTTAACAACTCACTTCTAGTTACATCAGTTCACAGAAAACCAGTCCAAGTATTATTACCCTATAATCAGAGCTTCCAGAGCTTCACGGCTATGTCAATGAAACGGAAAGACTGCAGAACTCTCGGACACTATTTCTGCAGCTTCTCACCAGCAATGACGCTTACACAGTGCTTTTGCGAGGCATCTGCTTTTTGCAACAGGAGTGCTGGTCTGCGCCTGCCATTGGAGAAGTCCTCTCGAAATCAGCCCTACGCTGGCCATTCAGCAGCACGGCAGAGGCATGCCCCAGTTCCTCCTGCCTCAAATGCATTTTGGGATGCAAATCCTTCTTGCGGCATGCTGGCTGGATTTGCTACTAAACCACAGAAACCGAGCTTGTCAGCTTCGAGCCCACCTCTGCACAGAGCCTGGAGTTTGCACGGTGTATGCTTGGGTGGCTGATGTATGGCCCTTCCCGCACAGAAGCTGGAAGCAGCAGAGCAACACCAGACCTAAGCTGACCACTCCAACGGGGTGGACACAGGTAGACACGCTGTTAGAATCACACCGCTATGCGAAACAACTTGCCTTTCCAATGTTGGACTTGGTGGATTCATAATAACCAAGATTGGCTTTCAGTTTCGGGTTCCCACAAACAAAAACATTGGCAGTGAAATTCCAATGCAACCAAACATATAAACCCTTTGCCGATTTACTTCAAATTCTGCTGAAACTTTGGCAAGAGAGTTCAGAGTCTCAAACCCAGTAATGTTTGGCTTGTTTAGTCTAGGAAAAACAAGGCCTGGAAGAAAACACATTCACTGCTTTTAAACACAGCAGGGAACAAACACTTGAGGGGAAGAAGAGATAGTTGTGTTTAACAAAGTTGACATGAAAAGAAAAACCTTTCGTGAACAAATTTAGAGAATGAGATCAGTGATGTTCTGAAACTGTTCTTCTGATTAGAACAGGGAGGGCAAAAAGCCCACCACCTTTTAGCATATAGCTTGATAAACATGTTCCTTATGGATACATTTGTCAGGGCACAGACGTTCCCTGATGAGAGAGAGGTGTCAAGATAGGCTTGAAGAAGAAATATCAATGAAAGAGTTAACGATTGATACCAAAACCACTTTGACACGTCTATTTTTATTAGCAGAAAAAGACTTCCAACTATAGATGAGATGCTTTTGCAATTCAGCGGCAGTCACTTGTCTTCCCTGACAGGCATGAGATGCAAGGTGTGGGGGTTTCTTTCTCTTGCTTTATTAAAGAAAAGAGCTTTCATATACTATTACTTCTGATTAGTCATCCACTGGTTTGTGCTCTTCACAATTTTTTTTTGGTAGGAACTCAGTCTTACAACAATATTTAGAACAGTTGCAGTTAATGCTTGTGCTTCAGCCTTTTCATTTGGATCAGAGACAAGCAGACTCCCTGACTGAAAAGAAGTGATTTAATATGGTGCTTTTTACTAAATAACAAAATAAGAATGCAAAAAAAAAAAAAATCCAGTATGATCTCAGTGGAACAACACTTTTCATGGCAGCAGGAGTAAGAACTTCACGAACAAGACTGCAGCATGATTATAAAGAAGAGTAATGCTCTGCCCATCCTTTCATTCCATCTCTCCATTTCCAGGCTTTGAAGACACGGACATTTCCCTAAAGGAAGCTGTAGACAACCAAGAACCAACTATAAAAGAGACTGAAGAAGGAAAACCTCAGTGAAGAATTTAGATGGTCCATTCGGGCTGTCTTGACTGTGTTACTCAAAGCTCTCATTTTTGCTTTAGCGGTTTTGACTCGATGGAATATATGAGGAGCAACCAGGGAGTACGAAACCACCCAAAGATGATGCTGTTCCACAGCTGGGTAGCCAGTCAATAGACAAACTCTTCAACTTCTTCTTTGTTTTATTAAGTTTTTGAGTAGTCTTCAGTTGGGTTCCCTGGTCTGGCTTAGAGCGAGATCACATAAGCACCACTGCTGATGCAAAGCAGAGAGTGAGGAACATGGGAGAACACGGAGATGGAGGGAGGTCAGAAGCATGACAACAGCAACCTGAGTGGGCTCAAACCCTTGTGCAGCTTTACTCGAGTGCAATATTTTCACCAACACCTTAAACTAGCGTAGGCCTTCATTCTCTCTACCCATTGACAAGGTAAAAAATTATGGTTATAGTTTTCAGTAAGACCAGCTTTCCCAGTCTGGAATGGTGCGATAGCACTTTGCTGGCACAAAAGAGGGGACAACACAAGGAGGGAAGAAGAGGCTTCCTTTGACAGCAATGCTAGCTTAAATTGACCACAAAACTAGAATCTTAAATAAACACAGTAGAAGACAAGAAAAAGCTTATACTTCATTACTGCCTTTGCCAAAAAGGATCACAGTGTTACAAGCCACTGAAGAACTGGAGGCAGCGGTAGCGTAGTCGCAGTCCCTGGATTTATACGAGTGATCTGGAACAGCGGGGTTCTGAATCACCAAATTCCTATTTCGCCTTCCTTTTTCAGATTGCCAGAGCGATATATGTATATTTTTAATAAATCTACATCTTTATTTTTTATTACATGGTTTTAAAACCTAGATATTCTAGGCAAAGATCAGGAACCACTGTACTCGGCAATGCAAGCAATACATGTTCCTTGCTTTAAACAACTTCTGGTATACTTATTTGTATACTTGCTATAAGTAGTTCTCTTTTTTGGGTACATGATAAAATTTGAGAAATGAACTTTTCATTTAAACTCTACAAGACCTGTAGGACTGTGATCTTGTACACAAAGAAAAAAAGAAAAACATTACAGGTCTGTGCCACGTCTGATTTTACAATGGTGCAATCAGATTTCAGTTTTTATTAGAACATTTCATTAGAACAATTCTATTTATTAAAATAGAATTTCTTTTGTCACATCTTTTGCTGTATTACTCTTCATTGCATGCATGGAACTGTATTTTTTTTTTTCATTAGCAATTAGGGAAAAAACCATATAAGCCTGAACATTAAAATAATAATAAAATTTTGGCAATGTCACTTAGAAATTTAGACTCTGAAACAATATAAATTTTTTTTTTAAATTCAGATTATCTTTTAATTAATCTACATATGCTAGAAACAAAAAATATCTGTAGCTATACAAATAAAAGTCCATTGTGTGCAAATTGCTGTCCCCTCACAGGGATCAATACAGTTTGGTTTGTGTTTTTTTTTTCCTTTTGTTTTATTTTTTCCCTTTTTTTTTTTTTTTTTTACTCACTGTACATGCCATAAACATTTCCTATGTAAAATGAAGCTATGTGATCTCATCTTATGTAAAATGAAGCTATGTGATCTCATCCTGAGTGCTCTGTACCACATCAAAAAAACTACTCACCGGTATGAGGTTTCTGGAAGCAAATCATCGATAACGTAACTTGTAACGTTTCCTACTGGAATGCTGATGTCACCCAGGTCAATGTTGTAGGACGTAATCTCAGCTCCGTTATTGCATGGTTCTTCCCAGTTCAGCACAAGGCACGCAGAGGGTGAGAGCTGACAGGCATCCATGTGCTCATCCTCCAGCACCGAGAGGGTAGAGACTGCATCAGGCACAGATGCGGGGATTCTGCAGGTTACCAGGTCACTGTAGGGTCCAGCTCCTGCCTGGTTAACAGCCTGTGTGTTAAAAAAATAATATATTTTTACAGGATAAATGTTCTCTTTCACATGTCTACCAAGTTCATAATAATGAGCTGTGCAGCCTGGAAGAGTTGCATGGATTCTTCAGAGGATATGCATCGCTGGCTTACTCGCTAAAGCATGACTCATACCCTCTACCTCTACTAGAGCAATTAATATCGTCCTTTGTTACTCAGGAGTATCTCTCAGATAAACCGGAGAATATTTATCTTTTCCCTAGTAGCTATTTAATCAAACTTAACAGTAACCTTTTTATCAGCAGCAAACTTTGTTTAGTAAGGGAAAATGTCACAGTCATGCTGCCAGCGACAGGGGACATCATGTTGTTCAGCAAACTGGCTACGCAAAAGTGGTGAGCCGCCCTGTATAAAATCCTCAGCATACTGCCGAGTACAACATCAGGTGCTTTATGCAAGCAGAATACGCCTAGACATAAGGGGCATTTGGCTTGCTGAGAGCTACGCTGGTTCCTAACTCAGGGAATGGATAGCTAATTTCATGCTAAAAAAGTTTCTGATATAAGAATATAGCAACTCAGCATGGCATTAAGTCTATGACTCAGATTTCCCCAGAAGTCACAAATCGCTAGCAAACCACCCCCAAAGCACGTAGCTCGATATACTTCCACAAGAGAGGAGAGCAACCAGTTATCGAGCTTCTCATCTTGACTCATTGATCCAGGATCCCAGTGAAACCAAGTTTCAAAATCTGGCCCACGTCTGCTCATTAATTACAGAGGCTGTTGTCTTCGCAAGCTCAACATTGCATAATTGTACAGGCCTGGGTTTTTATCAGTTGATGCTCAGTCAATGGCAAATACGTTGCACTGGAATGGCTAGGAAATGACTAACATTACCTCCTTGGGATTATTATAAGCTCCTGTGCACACAATCAGAGGACCATGCAGGCTGGAAGGGACCTCGGGACACATCTAGTCCAACCTGCTACTCCGAGCAGGGTCAAAGCTTACTACAGACCAGGCTGCTAAGGCTTTTGTCCAGGCGGGTCTTGAAAAATTCCAAAGATGGAGACTGCACAGCCCCCCTGGACCACTGTTACAATCCTTAATTGCCTGCATAGCGATAACTTTTCTCTTTATATCTCATCAGAACACCTCTATGTCAACCCGGAGCAACACTGGACACAGTATTCCAGGCTCTCATGAATGGCATGTAACAGGCCATACCACCGTCCCTTGATCTGCCAGCCGGGTTCCTCCTGACACAGCCCAGCACGCTGCTAGCCCACAAGGTACGTGGAGAGCTTATGACAGCATATTATGGTACAGGCTGAGCCATGAAGGTCCAGACCTTCAAAAGCAGCTTTTGACATTGCCCAGCATCGCCCACCATCCACATTTGCTCTTTCCATTTGGAAAAGTGAGCCCGGAGTCTCCTACCAGATTACAATTAATTAGAAAACCTGGATTTACACTGTTGCCAGTAGGACTACGACAGCAAGGAAAGGACACGTCAAACAACTGTTTGATTTCTTACCTATGCTTAACTGTAGTGAATAACTTATTTCTGCTATGCATAATACAAACACAAAGCCATATTCTGTTTTTCCAGGAGGCGTTTTGTGCAATTGAAGAAAGAGATAATAAAGTTAGATTTGTCAGCCTTTAAAAAGCCCTTCAAGACAAATCCTGCTCCGGGGACATCTTCTATTTAGTGAAGCGCTCCTAGAGCTGTTAAAAGTGAGCCTTGTTTTGTGGCCTGCCAATGATATTATTTATCTTGCCTCTAAACCAGTGTTTGGCAATCTGTATCTTGCTCCAAGCCATTTATTTTTAGTGGTGCTTTTAACTGCTTTATTGGACAATCTCATCATCATAACGGATGGGAATTTCATTCTTCTTTGCTTCCTAGATACTCTCCCCCCCCAAAAATGACAGAATATTTCCCTTTGCAGAAGCCACAATTGTTTTCAGGAATATTCATTACAGGAAAAAAGTTGAGCAACAGTAAAGACAAATTGTCTGCCCTGCAGTTATATATGCCGATTCCTCAATTCTCTCTTTTTATTGAGTTACTGTAGATTGAGATAGCAATACTGTGTGTTTACTAGAAGGCAGAGTAAATGTGGTTTGGGGAATCTTTATTTTTAAAAAGTAAAACAAAGATTTTTCTGTTAAAGCTGCTAACAGTAAGAAAAACAGCTATTATTCTCTCCTTTTTATTTAAAAAAAGACTAAAATTTCTGAAACTATTTAACCTTCCTTCTTTGTCTCCTACACATACTTTATTCTTTTTTTTTTTTTGTAATTGTTTAAATGTTGCAGTGTCTCTTACAACAAATTCTTCTCCATATAATATACAGATCAGATCTAGAGGATGAAGCCCTCTAGAAAGTAATGCATGGGTCATTGATGGACTTCGATGAAATGTCTTAGCGCTGTCGTGCATTTCCCTTAACTCCTGCCTATGGATTGAATTATATCGGCTGTGTTAAAAACTGGGGAGATTTGTGCAACATTTGGGCGGCAGGTAATTTAAAATGAACGCCCACTTGAAATCGGAGATGCCCTACAGCTGGCTGTTTCCATTTTTAACAAGAACATCTCCTCGAGCTCCCCGCCGCAGAAGCGGTCTCCCGGTCTCCCCCCTGCCCAGCGCCTGCTGGACGCTCTCCCTCCTGCGCAAGCAAGAGGCACTTTCTGGCCCACGCTTCCAGGCCCCTCACACATGCTCTTTCAATTCGCCTTCCCCAACAGGGCCAGCGCAAGGTACACGGCCAGCTATGACCAAGGCAGAAAATACAGTTGAGCGTACTCAGAGGTGTGGGGCCCCAGTTCCTTGGCTGCTGGCCAGCTGCTCGAAAGCTACTTTGTAAAAAAAAAAAAGTAAAAAATTCAAAGTCCTGTTTAAAAAAATTTAAGAAGGAAACACTCAACAGAAGCATGTTGTCCTTGATCAAAGAAATGACCCTGGGTGGTCCGCACGCTGCCAGCCGGGTAGGTACATGAACTTTTGGTCGGATTTACTGGTGGTATTCTGTCTTCACATACAAATAAATCTTGTGGAAGAGTATCTTGGGCAAAAATATTTTTACTTCACTCCCACTTACTTTACTTTCCATTTATTTTTCAGTGGACATAAAAGAGAAAGTGCTGTATTTTTATTTTCATACATATATAAGAAATATATTTTAACTGTTACTTTTTACTGAAAATAATAGGAGAGAAAGAGGTCAAAAAGAAATCATATAGAGCCTCTTTATGAGATCCAATCTTACAAATCTAAGAGACAAAAGTAGTAAAGATGAGGACTCACTTTCTGGCAGCTACCATCTCCTATATACATATGAATCTACTCAGCTGTTTTGCTTTATTTGATAAATGAAACAGATGTCGGAGTTTATTATTTAAGCTAGGAGAATCTTCAACATCCAGTTGGGAGGTAGATGTTGTTTACATCTCATTACCAAGAAAAAAAATTAATTTTTTGGGAAACTGTCTAAAACATTATCATTTTGTTTTAATATCAGAGGCCAAGGTGGCTGTTAAAAGCATTATTCACTGAAAATAAACCTCACGGAACATGAAAGCAATTTTCGAGAGCTAAAAGTTATACCAACTTTGAATTGTGCAGAATCTAAACTGTTCAGTTATATAGCAACAGTCCGCATTATTTCAAATAAGCATACATTCCTTCTGACTTACAAAGCACATAACTTCATAGTGGCTAATGATAAAAATAAAAACACAGTGGAAAGAAACTCTGTTTACATCTTGGATTGCAATGCATGCAAAACCTCCTAACTTCCATACCTGTAGCCTACAGCAGTAATGCGCTGCCGCTGACAATTCACTGATTTCAAAACAGGTATCTGTGCCACTATACGCAAGTTGTAGAGATTCCTCATCTTCTCCCCACTCTAATCTGTATTCAGAGATGTCAGCACCAGAACATTCAGGACTCTGCAACACAAATATTTATGTGGTTCAATTCAGAAATGAGCACTTCAGATCTCTGTGTTTCGCTGGGTAAGGAATAAAGTACACGGGGGAAAAAACCAAACCCCCCTAATTTTTAAATTAATACATCACTACTGCTGCAAATAGAAATGCGCTGAATTAGTGTTCCCTAATAGGTTACTGAAAGAGGCCAATTCTGCACAAAAATTACCCGATAGAAATTCAGAGAAATGAGAAAGTGTACGCAGCTACTTTGCTTTTCATCAGGACACTCAGGAATAAATTGTCTCTCCGCTGGCTTGGCAGAAGCGCAACCGTGGAGAACATAAAAAAGCATCAATCTAGTGCAGCCTAGTCGAGCGATCAAAACACAGCTCTGGAAGAGCTAGCCTTCAAGCCTGAAGCACTTACTCACGTTACTGAGGAAAGAATAACCTCAACGCGCGGGGAGCTTGTCTGAGGTTTTCACTGAACGTCACCCATCAAGCTAATGGTTCCAGTATGGGACACGGGAGTGTGGACCCGAGTATGTTAACATCCACAAAAAGACTCCTACAGGATCCACGTGCCCCCAGCAATCCCTGTATCACCCTGAAGTCTAGGGGAACACAGAATAAATACCTGAATTTGCTGGAGATGAGCTGGTGCAGGCATAACGGCATGGTTCCCAAACCAAGATATTTTTACCAGAACTACCTAGAGCTGTACTGTGTGGACTGAAGCGGCTCAGGGAATCGCTGCTCTACGTGCAGAAGCGTGATCTAGGATATGGTAAAGACTTTGTGATTGTGGCATGCAAGGTCTAATTTCCAGTAAAAGGATCCAGAGCATCACTGCACGCCACAGTGACCGCTCTGCACGTGCCCAGGGGCTGCTCTAGCTCTGCCTCTGAGCATCCAGCTAGTTTAGCAGCAGCATTCAGAACCGCTAAGCCAGCGCTTTAAAACAACGTGTAAAAAAGGCATAGTAGGCACCACGGTGTGCTCACTAGCCAGGCAAACCAAGTCCACAGCCCTTTGCTGTTTTTCCTTCATATTCATATCAGCCAAAAAATGATAGACTCTTTAAGAATATGTAACCATTGCAGACCACGTTAGTCCTTCCACAGCTTCATTTTTAGCTAGAATAAACAACTATATCTGGCATATAAATACAGAGCCTCGTAGAAACACTGCTGCCTTCGCTCATGGTTGGGGAGAGCAACTGCCTGTCCATAGACTCATTTAAAAGGTAACATCTAAAAGCTTCGGTGTGACTTCTAGTTGAGCATCACAAAACATTGCAAGAAATATTAACAAATACCCCCAAACTGCACCAAACGCATCTGTTTCGTTATAAAATTAAACTCAGATTACGTCTGTACCTAGATATGTTGTTAGCACAATCAATTAATTTGAGCATCTCGTGAACGTTAATAACTTCTTTCTCAATAGGGGCACCCTTTGTGGAGGGACCCGACAGATGCAGGGCTGAAAGGCTGCTAGGTTTGCAAAGAAAGTCCGTGGCAGAATTACAGCCCCATCGCTCCGTATCACTTTATTTATGACAACATCCTTTCCTTTCTGCCTGAATTACGGAACAATTCTTTTTTTTTTAATGACACCAATCAACCCTTCAGCATTTCAGCTAAGACTTGTTTTAAGAGTCCAACGTCTAAGATCCTGGAGAATGGAGAAGGAACGCACACAAACTAAAATAAAAGTAAATATTTGGGGAAGAGACAAACAATTTTTGAGGGAAAAAAAAAAAATACATCGTAAGCGTTTGTGCAGAGTTCATTTCATATCAGAGACTCCAGCTTCAGCCAAAATCAAATATTTGCCTTCACAATTCCACCCCAGGACAGTCTGACATGCTAAAAGCCTGCAGAGAGCACTTCTACCCGACCAGCACTCTATCATCTGACGCCAGTGTAGGAGGTCTCATGTCTGAATCCTGGTCCAGATGACTCATGATCAACTTTATACAATTCTTTAAAAAGAAAAGTAGAGAAGATGATTTTCTACACCAGAGGAGTTTCTGCATACGGTTTTCTCGCACAAAAATAAAAAGTTCCAAACCAGAGAATAGTTCTCAAGCTAGCTCTCAAGTTTTGCGGTGACCGTATTAGTTTGGATAAGCGAGACGGCAACTGAACGACCAGGGCACCTGACTTACCTCCCAGCTCACAAGTACACGCGCGTCAGACAGAAAGGAGAGGGAAGGCGCTCTGCACTGGCCGGGCGGTCCTGCTGCCGTGGTGACTTCTGTAGCTTCCGAATACGGCCCGTACTGGAGGGGAACAAGGTGTCTGTGCATTAATATATAGACATACACCCATCTCGCATTCCTCAAAGGCTTTTCAAGAACAGCACACAAAACTTTTTCAATGCGATAAACTTTCCCAAAGATAGACCGGGCTTCCGACACTCGGCACCAAATATCAGAGCTCAGTTGGAGACCACGTAAATCATTGCGAAGTAAGCTCAGGTACGAGCAGACGGCATGTACGCCCTCCTGTGCGGTGGTGAGTGCCCATGAAAGCATAAGCCACCGCCAATTTACCCAAGAGTGAGAACGTGCGCTCAGCAACAGAGCAACCGAGGAACGGTTTGTGTCCCTCCGCCTTACCTTCAAGTAATGTGTTCGCATGTCTGTGCCACAGCCTGGCATAACTGGCTTCTCGGGGATATAAGGAGGAGCACAGCAACAGTAAAGCACGTACTGAAGTCCAAATCGAGTTTCTTTTCTATAAAATGTCTGCCACGTGTTCATTATAAAAGGATAGCACGTGATGGAGCGCAGCTTGGGTGTGTAATGGCAGCGTTCAACGTGCAGGGGCACGCTGCGCACACGCTCAGACAACTTTTGAGCCCTTGGCAGGAGAATAATTTAAATGCATATTAACAAAAGGAAAGACAAATTTCAAGAGTCTGGAAAACTGGCTTCAGCCAGCAGGGCGAGGACAGGAGAGAGATAACGGTGGCAATACCCTTTCTGCGGCCACTTGAGTGGGATAATGAAGTTTGTTCAGTACATCCCCAAGCTAATTAGAAATCATTCTCCAGAACAAAGGAACTTCGCTGGAAGCAATTAGAGGAAAAGCACTGATATTTACTTATTTTGGAATGCAATATGAGCAAGTATGAAAAAAAATGAGCCACTACAAAGGCTGAACAACACCGAAATTATGAACCCCAGAAAACCTCTCAACAGACGTGTCAGTATCTGTGCTATCGAGAAAGGCTAACGCTGATCACTTTGCTTGAATTACAAAGAATGCACCTTTCAAAAAAATCTCATTTATTGACTTCTGCTGTTTTCTTTACCTAATGGGAGGAAGAAAAGCATTTGCATCTGGTAAAGCACACACACACAGACTTGCCCCGCTTTGCATCTGGTAAAAAAGAAACCCAACCAAACCAAAACCGGGCCCCTCATTTAACAAAGGGTGGGACTAGAAATGCTTTGCAACTTTAAACATTGTTTTGCCAAAAAAAGGAAAAAGAAAAAAAAAAAAAAAAAAGGGAAAAAAAAAAGGAGAAAAAAAAAGTCAAGGTATCATACATCCAAAGCTGCCACGTAGGCAATTGTTTTCATCCCAGCAAGCAAATCCAATCTGGGGGGGAATAAAAATCTTTTTCAAATTTAAAAATTGTTTTTCCAAAAAAAAGAAAAAAAAAAAAAAAAAAAAAAAAAGGAGAAAAAATAAGGAGAAAAAAAAAGTCAAGGTATCATACATCCAAAGCTGCCACGTAGGCAATTGTTTTCATCCCAGCAAGCAAATCCAATCTCTCCATGTGTATTTAATTCATTTTTCACAAAAATAAAATAGTGGATATTTTAAAGACAAAACAGTTTAACAGTCTTGCATATTTTTCTAATACCTAAGTTAAGTTTTAACAGAACTTCTCCCTGTAACTAAATAACTTTAAACCTTTATGTTATGCTTGTCGTCAAGATTTCCTGGGAACAACCACATCAATATGTACGTACTGTTGGTGGGACTGCCTTTATAAAAAAATGTTGGAAAGATGCTCTCACAAAGGTAAACAGAACCAACCCAAACCTCACTGGAATCAAGAAGATCTTGCAACAGATCTCTGTGGACATCAGATAGAATTTATGATGTATTTGGGAAGGCACATCTTCCAAGGAAATCATGTAACAAAAAAAAAAAAATCATCTATAAAGCATGTATGTTTTTCAAATTAAAACAAAAAAAAAAATCATTAAGAAAGCAAGCTTTCCTCAAAATATATCAACACCTGAGTGAAATTTCAGTAATCATTTTTACACAGTTAAGATTTAAAACAAAAAGAAGGAATGCAGCGGAATAACCAGATTCCTCCTTGTAAGCAGATATGAGCTTTAGCAGGGATTTTGCACATTTTGCTCCAGCTGGTTTTGGCCAGTCAAATCATATTAGTACCCGAAATCTCCTTTCAAAAAGAGTACCACATCCAAAACCGCAGCTATTCCTCAAAAGTTCCTTTAAGCATTTCTCATTTTATTTTCTTCTGCCCATCTCCCTTTCACCTTTCGGGTCCCCAGCACTAACACAATCACTTTCCAGAATCGCCCGTCTCAGGCACGGTACCACCTCCAGGGAGAAAAAGCCAAAGCACGCTCCGGCACGCTGCACGTACCCCACCATCGTTCAAAGCTCTCACTCTGAACCGATACGTTGCTCCGGGAAGAAGGTTGCTGACGGTGCACTCCAGATCAGGCCCACGATACACTTCAGAAACAACTTCTTCAGGTTCTGTCATTTCTACACTGTACTCTGAGATAGGACAGCCGCTTTCTGATGGAGGGACATCTAGAAAGAAATCATATAATCATGAAATCATGTAATCATGAAATCAGGAAGATTAATTTTGTACTTCACATACCCAGAAATATATATATACAGACACACATAAATACACACACGCACACCATCAACAATGATTTTCCTCTTCGATAGATGCCTTACCTGCAACATCTCATCCATGGACACAATTGACATTTTTAAAGCAAATGGATAAAATTACTCTTAGCCCTAAACATTCACCAGGTCAGATCGCCAGATGCAAAAGCAGCATCTCCCCCAAGGCAATGATCCTGGGAAGCGGTGTTCAATGCCAGGAGGTTTTTAAGCAGACCACAGTACCTACCATCCTCTTCCGAGGACGAAAAAAAAGCTACACGGCTTCTTTCCCTCAAAGGCAGTGTTGTGTGCAAAAATATTGGTCAGTGAGACAGGAGAAAAGGTATAGAAAGCTGCATGAGGAATGGGACTAGTGCTGAATACACCCTTTCTGGGACAGAGAGAAATGAGGAGGCACACGGTGGCCATCTGACCCAATCTTGGCTTCTGGCTAGGGCTGGACACAGGCTGAGGTGGGTCACGTACACTCCAAAACTACTACTTATACATGGGACTTCTGGCAAAACCTCATTAACACCCAATAAAAGTATGAACGGCTGCCATCCTCGAACTTCATTAGTCACGCTGCTCACATTTATGAGATTCTAAATCTCTGCACGATGATCTAAATGCTGCGCTCACTTGGAACAATAGCTTTTTGGGAAACTGAATTTGTCTTCTGTGCCTGTATCTGTTTTGTTGTGGGCACCTCTTTCCCCATGAAAACAACATATTTGATAATATTTGCGTGCTATATTACAAGCCAATACCACAGAATCAACCTGCCTGGGGTTCTGAAAAGCAGTGCTCCACCATAAGGGGTACAGTGTTCCAGGAAACAACACGGTATCTTGGATGCACAGGGGAATTTTTATACTGGTGTTGAGACATATTTGTCAGTTAGAAACAGTACTGCTCTAGAATTTAGCTAACAAATGACGCCACAAAGGATCTTGGATGATGCAAGATTATCATAGTAAAGAAAAAAATGCGTTGGATACCGGCATGTACCTTGTATTCTGAAAAATGTGCATTTTTTGACAGTTTACTGTCACGTCCATGGTCCAAGTCCTTTGCAAAATTACAGGTGTCCAATGGATTGCGTATGTTATTCTGTGGATAAGGGTTTAAATGCCACTCAAAATCCTCAATACGTTCTAACTCAAAATTTCTCAGAGAAGTCCTATATTGGAAGTAGCAAAACGCTTCTGCCAAGTCAATATTGCAAAGGAATAAAAAAAGATCTTGAATCACATGGTGTATTTGCAGTAAAAGGATAGATATTCTAATATAGCTGATACTTTATAGTCCTGACACAGAGACAGGTCCTAATTAAAACAAAAATGGGAGCACAGTATCAGGCCTAAAGGACAGCTGGAGGACAGCTAAATTCAGAAACGCAATACAGAGCCACAGCAGTCGACGAGAAGTTGCACTGCTGACTTGCGCAGGCTTCACTGGGCTTTGCTCTGTACTTCCCAGTGAACAGAACACCCTGCAACTTCTCACCGGGTCTAGCAACAGAAAGAGAAGCTAAGGCAAGTTCAGCCACCAACCACCCAGATGAAAGCTATTCAGCAGTGAGATGCTCCAGCAGCTTACCCCATTGTAGCTGTACTTCTTTGTGCTTCGGCTTCCCCAAAACTCGTGGTGGCCGGCAGTGACCTGGTGCAACACTTAGCGTACGGACAGGTAAACTTTCAGAACACTGGAAGAGAACAGGAGCTGATGTTAGCTCTCCGGTACAATCACCGCCTACAGTGAGGCGTGATGAGAAAGTGGCACAAGAAATTGTTTTCTACAACAACCACTTAATAGAAATTTATATAAACAATAAAGGATAGGAGATGGTATCAAGCATGGTACTTACAAATGCAGTTAATAGAGTTCTTTCATTAGCATACTCGAAACCGCAGGTAACTTTGATGGCTAATGTTCTGGCATTCTTTATTTTAATTTTCCTTGTTTTTAAAATAATATCAAGGCCTAAGGCACTCAATCGTAAAAAAAAAAAAAAAATCAAAGCAGGAGGAATAAAAGTGTAGGTACTGAAATGATTTTAAATCAAAGAAGGGACTGACAGAAATCAGTGACTGGAAAACGGAACCCAAAAATTTAAAGAAGAATTCAGCCACAGGAAAGGTAATTAATTTTTACAACAAACTACCCCTTCTGCATCTTCACTCACCAGCTTTGGTCAGTACAGGCTCAGGTACACGAGAGTCTGTGGTCTTTCTCAAGCAAGTGGCCAGATCAGCTAAACACAATGGTCTTTTCTAGCGTAAGTATAAACACCTACAGATTGGTTTTGAGGAAACCAAATCTCACTAAACTGCAATTTGCCTGAAAAAACCCCATCAGGTACACATAGAAGTCTTCTAAAATTCAGCAGCTTGCAACGTAAGATTAACTGCAATCAGTGTAGCTTTACTGTGCTACAGGAAAAATATTCACCTTCTTTTTAAAGCAGAAATCTTTTACCAAAAATAGCAGATAAATCTCTTGAAAAATGTAAAACCAATAGTCCTTATTGTTAAATAATACTCACCTGACTGTGTCCGCCAGTGCTGATACAGCATGCCCGGAGTTTATACAAAGTGCCTGGTTTCAAGTGAGTACAGGTATATTCTGTAGCCGATCCACTGTATGCCACTTCCCACTGATTTGCTAAAAAATGAGATATATCCAGGTTTAGAGAAGTATAATGCAAGAAGTTTACTAGTGTCTAGGAGGAAAGAAAATCCTTAATGTGGTCTTCCACAAATGATGTATTTCATGAAAGTCATTAGTGTTAATATTACTATATTATTCCTGCTTAAAGACATGCATATACATAGACACATATACAAATATATATATATATACACCTACAAATATAAATATTCCCAAAATATATTAAAAATATCAAATCAAACAGTAGCTTCAGCCCTACAACCTGAAATTCTACCAGTCTTGGAGAAAAAGAGCATACTTTAAAAAAAAACACAACAAAATCTCCCCAAAACCCAACGCAAACTCTCCCAGGCACCCTGCAAGTTTTGAGGCTGCAAGTATGTAACTCCGTTTCAATCACATCTGCAGCATTAGTGCATTAATGATAATAACAGTAACAGCCCAAAGGGTCAGTGCTTCTTTATAGTAGCCATAACGGACTGAAATGGAGAAAACTTGTTTCAAGTTTACCTTCCGGACTTCCTTGAGAAATCTCTAATAGGTACTTTAGGATTTCCGAACCACCATTATCCTGTGGAGGATCTGAAAAAATACAGCAAGATGTTAGTAAATCAAGATTAGGAGTGAAACGTAACAAAAAGATTACAGAACTTGTTTCTGATTCTGCTCCTTCTCCTCCACAGGCTCCCACACTCTAACCACACCAAGGAATTCAGAGCAGAAGTGGGTAGCAGATGTTAGTTTTCAGCATGAGTCAGAATAAGGTGGCTGGATAATGATGCTACAAACAAAACGTATGGAAAAAGCATTGAAAGAGATGCAGCACGGAGGCTTGCCCCATCGATAAAGGAAGCAGCTGGAACGATGCTGCGATGGGACATGAAATGGAAGGTGAAAAGCCTGAAGATGCACTTGAGCCCAAGCGCAAGTTAGTCAATAAGAACAAGCAACACTTTTGGGTCTGAAAACATAAGAGCCTCTACGCATCTTTTAAAATATTAAAACAATTAAAGTTGTCCAGCTCTCCAAACGTGTTCAACTTTGGACTGAGAAGCAGCATGAAAAAATTTAAGTTCTAATACATATTTACATAATTTTATTTGAATTTAATTACAACTCAAAACAGCAAGCTGAACTGGCTTACCCCACTTCACACTAAAGCCGTGAGATGTTATTGGCCCCTTAATAACGGGTCTGGTGGGAGGTCCTGGCCTGTCTGGGCTTGTTGTGCAGACCAACACTTCGCTGGGAGAACTCTTTCCTTCCACGTTAGAAGCAAACAGCTGAAACAAAACCACAACAAGTTTACCATTGTTTACTGTACCTGCTTTTCTGACAGTTCTGCATGAGACTTCTTTCAGTAATTGCACAAATATCATTAAACTGGGAAGTATGTCACATCCCAAAGTGTGTGGGATTCTAATAAGAGATACTGAATTGTCATGTTGTTTCTTTACAAGCCACATTGATTTTTCCCGTCCCTCCACTAGCAATAGATCATGACATGTTTAAGATGAGAGCACTGCTGTTTTTCCCTTTAAAAAAGTCACGTGGCAACTTGCAGTTATTTACTCGTAGAAGAGGAAGACAACTATGCTATTTTTGTTTCGCAGATATTTCAAACTGCTATTTAAAACAGATTAATTCATCAGTAGTCACACAACTGAAAGCTTAAGTAGCACGACATGCAGACAAGAAACGTGTAACCTACAGCACTGAACCGAGCAGGATGCGCACAAAGGAAACTTTCTCAGCCAAATCCTTCGTCTCTACTCAAGAACACCTTCTGCTGACTTCAGGGAGAAGGCTGCTAAGCTAAAAGAAGACACGAGGACTGGGCCAGGAGACTGGGTAGATCAGAATCCTACAAGAAACCCCAAATGGTCCCATGTTTTGTGGCTGCCGAGAGCTGCATTAGCTCATGCTCGTCTCTGCGACAGAGATCTGCTGCCAAGGCAGCGAATAATAAAATACGTATTACAATTACTAATTGTAAATACAAGCTAGCAGGAACTTTTCCACTTGGGAAGCTCTGTTATTCTCAGGAGCAGTCGTTTCTCTCCTCTCTCCTAACGCAGGCGTCTGGGGAAAACAATTTGCAAGTTTCAAGGCCAAAAAAGTAACTGAGGTTCTCTAGCCCATACGCTGGCTTTGAACAAGTCACTAAAGCCACTATCAACTCCGATGTATCATCTCTTGGTTCTTCTCGGACTATTCGCCCATTTAAGACATCTTGCCATGAACACCAGATACATGAGCTAGACAAATATCCCAGTTACAGCTCTAGGGAATCAGTGTGAGCCACAAAAGTAAGGCAACACTGACACGTTTCCCCTATGTATACAGCTAAAGATTGCACTAGCCCGGCAGGCATTGAAAATTCATATTAAATTGATTGTTCAAGCAGGATCTTCAACACTTTTTCAGAGCTCCAGCTTCCCCAACTTAGAGTCCCCCATCCTCTCAGTAGGAATAAAAATAAAACCTTGATTGTTTCCAGGTCACTGATAAAATGATGAAGTGGTATACACAGCACTGCTTTTTGTGGAACCTGACTAGGAACAGCCATTGGCGATTCCCTTCTACGCCGACACGTCAAACACTTCAGAGAATGAAATTTCTGCACCTTGCTGTGTTGTGTTTGGTATCATTTCCCTTCTGTGCCAAACCCTCCCTCGGTACCTAACAAATGCCTTTACAACGGTGTGTTACATTACCATTGTCACTTTAATTAACCAACCTTTATTTCATCAAAGATGTTAGCAGGATGTCTCCTTTGTAAGCACACATTGCCTGGCATGAATTAAATTTCCCCCTTAATTCTTTATTATTAAGGGGGTTCCCCAAAGAACCGTATTGTGCCCAGGTTCAAAGAGAAGCCTACAACTTGCCAGATAACCCTCACTGTGACTTTTAAAACACTGCTGTGATCCTAGGCTGCGTTTGGTTTTGTTTGTTTTGCTTTACAGTTTTGGGGATCCTTCCCCAAGTTCCGTAGCTAGTTAACACTGGTCCGCATGCAACGAGGGAACATCTCAGTGCTGCGTCCGATCAGACTTGTGCTTGTAGCCAGTGACACGAGGCTACGAGTTTGCTCTGATATCAACCCAGTTTTGTAAAATTCCTGTTTAATTCGAAAGCAGGGCTGAAAAGAAGCACTAACCATCCTTTTCCCTCAGGCAGCCACAGCAGCTTTTAAAATGCTAAAGTAAAAGGCATCATCTCTGAGCGACGCCGCAACAACATCCCGATTCTTTGGGTAGTTCTTCATGCAACTTCACAAGGTCTTGTGTCCCACAAAGGAATACACGCAAAGTTGGTTTTAAGGATTTAAATGAGCCTTTGGGTAAAGTCCTTTTTTGTTGCTCCTGAATATACCTACCAAAGCCAAATGTTTTTGAATCAATACAAACCTATGCCATCCTCCTTTCCCCGCGCTGTTTGCAAATGACATGAAGCTACTTCCAGGCACCGTTTGTTTGGCAACGTGGGAGCACGGTGGATGCTGGCTTTACAGAGAGCTCCTCGCCATCCGCGGACGGCGCGGCTGAACGCCATCTTGTGGAGCCGTCAGCCCGGCCGCAGGGACGGACAGCCGCTCCGCAGCCCATCTGGTAAAAACCACGCCGTCTTCTCCTCGACAGCAGCACCCGGCACTTGTGTTGTGCTTGATGGCTTCAGTAGCAGCGAGGCAGATGACTGAATTTTGTGTTTGCAAAAAGACTTGAGAGCATCTCTCTTTGGGGGGGGGCCTGCATTTAGGAGCACCCACAGAGCGGGAGATACCAACACTTGCTAACAAACCAGCTCCAAAACCAGCCGCATGTACGGATGAGGTGGAAAAGCTTCAACTTCTACATGTCAGGGAAAGACAGGCCCCTGAGCTGGGGAAGGAGGCTGTGCTTGCTGGGGTCCTTACAGTGTTTTCTCCATTGTGTAGAAGGGAGACTGGTTTTGAGACCACGGATCAGGATTTTGGGGAGCAATGCAGCCAACTACGACCACCTCAGGCCCTGAGCCACGCTTTTACAACATCATACCTGCCAGCGCACAGCACCAAGAACCATGCCTGTTTCAAGAAGACTGAGCACTGAGCGTTTTCTGTAGTAAAAGTAAAAATACAACTTTGGTTTAATCTATTAGGTCTTAGTATAAAATAAATTTGTATTTGATAGCTCAATTTTGGAGGTAGTACTAAAGGGTCCCTACAGTGCCTGGAAAAAAGCCAACACAGAAAATACTATGCAATGACAAGAGGAAAATTATTTTACCCTGAATTTATACTGCGTGCTTCTTCTGAGATTCTTCACAGTACAGGCTTGCTCCTCTCCAGTGTACTTCGGGTGAAACACGCTATCCTAGGAGAAAAGAAAAAACCAACAATGAATTCCCATAGCTAAGGAGTCTGACGAAGTGCTCTCTGTATTACAGTCTGTAGCTAGAACACATGATAGCAAAGGGGCTTTATAGTCAAGTGCTCTTTTTAAATTATTATTACTCTTAAGCTGCAAGGCCACAATAATTTTCCTTCTAGAAGGATGGTGCAACTGACCCGAATAATATAACTTTGCTGTAAAATAAGCACAAAGCCAATCGTGATAGTTTAACACGTTACAGAAACAGAAGTGAGAGATGACAGAACGCAAGCACACCACACAGCGGTGAGGAGGACACGGCAGACTGAACTGGCCGAGGACAAGCTGCCCTACACCTTACAGGCCCCTGTGAAGCTTTGTAAAGGAATCATGGATGACAGTACAGATTTTTAGCTAAGGATTCATAATTCTGCTGTGGAGCAGAACAAACCACACGGCTCCATCCTGCCAAGTACCCAGTCCTCCTAAAAGACCCTCCAAAGCAGCAATCCACAATCTTCTCACTGATCTTCAATTAATAAATGAAAACTCAATCTAAGTCATGCAGTACACTTTCTAGTAACACCGTACTTACATTGTCTTCTTCCTGAATTTCCAGGGTGTAGGAAATCACTTCCTCTGGTGTACATCCTTCTACTTTATTCCACTGCAATGCAATCCATGTCACACCAGCTCGAACAAGCTTTGGTGCAGAAGGGGTCTGAGGAATATTACCTGCAGTGTAGCATACCACCTCCTGGCTGTACCCACTGCACAGAGACAGAGGAGAGAGAGGAATATTAAACACAAAACCAAAACCCAAACAAAACAAAAAAAAACCCCAAACCCAGCCTCAGTGTATTTAAAGAAATATTTCACATTTTCAAAAAATCTAGGCAATGTTAAAATTGCCCAGGTGGAAAAGATGAGCACCCAGTTAGGAAGCGCCAGAACTAAGAATAGAAAAAAAATGCAGGATTATACGTGTCCTCACAGTCACTTTTACACATCTCACCACAATAATATTGGGAAAAAAAAAATATTTGATTGCCTAAAAATATTAACTTACTATTAACTGTGAAGTAGAGTAAAATCTCACGTAACAAAGGGGAACTAAAACATAGGAAATAAAGCCTCAAGTGTTCAATTTTTAGATGTTGAACTGGAAATGCAGTTTCCACCTTTTATAAACTCGGAATACAACTTCTATTTAAGCTACACCTCTGAAAGCCAAGTGCTTCAGCAAGTCTAGTCCCACTGTTTCAGGCATCCCGCTCCAAAGAAAGCAGGGAAAATTTATCCAGTCATGACCATACATGCCCAGCATCATGTAGGAGCTGTGCGGTGCAGGCACAGATACCTTCTAACCCTCCAGGCTGGCTCTACTCCTTTCTGACTTTCCCTGCCCAAACTTCTTTGCATTTTAAGCTGAGCATAGAGTTGCTCTTTTGCAAGCTCAGGCTGCAGAGAGAACATCCACGGCAGAGGAGATGCACGCTCTCATCTTGTCTAAATCCCAGCACGCAATGCCTTGAAACAGAATAGGCAGCTGTGTTGAGCAAGCGTCGGAACAGTTCTCTTAAGACTCCATGCAGAATATATTATGTACAATGAAAATTCGAGAAAAAACTTTAAAATGGACAGATCTGGGTTTTTTTCAGGAGGACATCAGAACTCTCAACTGAAGGTAACCTTCTTGCAATTTTCAAATCTCTGTTTCCAAAGTACAAATGTATTTTGTTCCTTACAGTCATCGTATGAGTTTAACACACACAAAAAGCCACATCTCCTTTTTCTGAGTCTTCTTTCTCAAAAACAACGTATTTGTTGAAATATTCTTATAGTTAAAAAAATCCACCTATAACTAACACCCAAACAAGACAAAAATAATCTGAAATGGTAAATCCACAACCATTACAACCAACCAAAACCATCTTACGACACGAAGTGTTAGGTGACATTATCATGTCGTAATTTTGAGTGCTGTCTATAAAAATAAGCCATGTGCTGTTGGTGCTTATCTCAGATTAACACAGAGCAGCTGACCATAAATATAGTTCTTAGTTCACACCCTCCTCAATAGCCTGAGAAAAAAAGAGAGAACAAAAAAAAAGGGGGGGAGGGTTGAAGCATGCCCTAAGATATTTTAAAAATCTGGAATCTGGCAAAGAAAAGAGATGCCAAAACTGGGAACTTTGCACAAAACTGGCAGTCCCCTTCCAGTTACCCTCTGCAGCTCCAGCTCCAGCCTCTCTCTCTCTCTCTCCAGATCAAGAATCATTTCAATAGGGAGGGAAGTAATCTTGCAAGAAGTTGGCCAAAGGGACTCTGTGCACATGTGAAGTCCCAGTGCATCTCAGAGGGAAAACAGAGGAACACGAATGAAGAAACTTTTTAAAGCTATATGAGGTTTAAAACTAAGAGGTTTGTGTTTTGGAAGAGAGAACAATACAGGAATCTCCCTCAGCAAAACACGCTATAATGTACCACTAGTGTTTCTTTTTCTGTCCTTCTTGTAATAATGATTAGATCCTGTTTAGCTAAGAAGGACAATAAAGGAGTATACAAGAGCACTGGATGTTTAGCTTCTTCACAGCCCAACTCTTCCTGCCCTGCTTTCCTTCCATGAGCACAGGAGCGCACAGCCCCTGCAGCACCCTCTCTCTTTGGGCACACTCCGGTCCTCAGCTGCAGAATATTTTAGCCCACTGCTCCCTAGCAGCTCCTGGAGGATTGCAGTAAGTCTGATTTCTCATCGTCTTCATTTGAGCGCACCGGTTCACGTGCAAGACAAGCAGAACCTGAAACCCATCTTGCAGGGCCCTTGGGTGTGCCTGTCCTCTCTCGGTCCTGGCTCTCTCACCCTTCTTTCCCACCCCATCAGCCAGCCCTGCGGAAGAAGGAAGGGACTGTACTGCTGAAAAAAGATAGAAGGGCTTTGCTTTAAACCAGAAAAATAAATATATTAAGATTCCTTTCAAAATCTGTAACTCGGCTTCCTCTTGCTTGTTTTTCTTGGTTCACAGAGGTCCCTAGTGGGAATTTTACATAACAGATGTATTCTTTTTGTATTAGGAACAGACCACAAAACACCATTTAACACCTCAAAAGGAGCCTATCATCTCAGGCTAACCTCATCCTGCTGA